TTCAACTTTAATTCATTCTCATCAGGGTAGGCAGTACTCCCTATCACAAGATGTACAGGACACTGTCCCCACCATATGGTGCTTCGAGCCGGATTTGAACCAGCGACCTATGGATATATGGTCCTTCGATCCTTCAATAAAAACAGGAGAATCACCCAAGAATAAATAATTGAATCACGTCAGAGGTCATTCGAAAGCCACCACGTGCACAACCTTCCTACGCCATCTTCAAGTTGAACTGTTTCACCGGAGTAAGCAATGCTGTATAGCTGACACTCCCGGGCATTAACATCAACACTTCCGGAAGCTTCGATCATCAAGGATTCGTGAGATCGTTCCATTTCCTATTTTCATCCTAATCATAATCATTTCCCTATATATTTATTATTACTTATTCTATTTATACTATAAATTTTACTCATTTCTTCGTGTTCTTACATCTTATAATTTCATCCACGTAATTATTTTAACTGTATTTAGATTATTCATCCCTTGTGTTTGTTTACGTTAATAATAAAAGTCAAAGTTAAAGTTAACTTTATTAAACAATAAAAGTTAAAGTCATATTCATGTTAAACAATTAAAAATATATTTTTTTATCACATATATAATAGAAATAAGAATAACTTTATTCTTTTTTTATTCTTTTTTTACTTCATAAATTTATATTAATAAAACATCTAAGTAAGTAGGTAAATTCATCACAATTCCTTTTATCACCTTTAAAGTCTTAAATCATTAAAAATAATAGCTTACATATCGCCTTTCTTTATTTATTACAAGTATTTAAATTATTTTATTACAAACTTCTAACCTTTACAATTCTTCTTACAGATCGATATTAAGAAAATAAAAGTGTACATTGTTGGAATATTGAGCGCCTGGCAATTTAGTTGCAAAATATTTGTTGTATTTTTTTATCAGGCGTCATATATTATTACTTACTTTAATTTCCATTCATATATTATTATTTACTTTAATTTGATTTAAAGGTTTAGCTGATTAAGCCCTAATTTAAAATCGAATAAAAGCAAACGTTGCTTGCTTTTTGTTTTCCTTTTTTAATTATTAATTAAAATAAAAAAATAACAATGAGTAAAAAAACAAATAAAACAGTTAATTAAAAAAAGAGCTACAATTAAAGGAAAGCTTACTATCTTTAATAGTTATTTAAAATCAATTCAAAATATTGAAGAAAGAAAGTTCAAATTGAGCTTCAGATGCGTTTAGATAAAATTGAAAATTTAGACGATGATTTCGACGGTTTGCAGAGTGAACTGGAGGAGTTGTTGGATATGCCCGAGGACGAAATTAAGGAGCGCGAGGCCTTCGAGTTACAATACTACTCTCTTGTGTCCGCCGGTCGTGCCTTGATCCAAAGCCATAGTAAGATTTCACTTCCTTCACAAGACACCATGGCTGTGGTCTGCTCTGATGCAACGTCACACTCACACAAACGTAAGGTTGTTTAACTCCCTAAAATAGACTTGCCACATTTTAATGGTGACTTTGATAGTCTGGCTGGCTATTGGCTTGGGTCATCGGTACATTGGTACATCGACAATGTAAATAAATTCCCTTATCTGCGGGCATCTCTTGAAGGTAATGCAGCCTTAATCATATCAGAATTAGATTTTTGCGCAGATAATTATGAGTCAGCATGGAAAATCCTTTGTGAACGATACGATAATAAGCGTCTTCTCGAAAATCATCATTTAAATTCAAAATAGAATCTATTCAAAAGGAGTCTAGTATAGGTTTACGTAATTTGATAGACACGATAAATAAAAACTTAAGAGCTAGCTAATAGGTCAACCATTAGAACATTGGGATACACTGATTATTCATATGATGTCTTGTAAATTAGATAGCGTCACAAACAGGGAATGGGAATTCCATAGGAGTAACTTAAAGGGATCCCCCTACTATAGATAACTATATTAAGTTTATTTCTACCAAGGCAGATCTTTTATAAACATTAGAAGTATCGAAAATGGAAAAAATTAAATTTTATAATGTAAATAATAAACAAAAAAGGTTTTATATTGTCATCTAGTAAAAAATTCTATCTATGTCCCTTATGTAATAAAGATCATACTTTATTTAATTGCGAATCTTTCAGAATGTTACCAGCCGATATGAGAATTCAAAAAGCTAAAACATTCAAAGTTTGCTTGAATTGCTTACGTTTCGGTCGTTCTGATATCGAATGTAGATTGACACATTGCAAATATTGCACCAAAAGGCACAATACTTTATTGCATACTGATCAGTCTGCCACACAGAATGTAGCTCTTTCGGCTAACGAACTTCATACTAACGCATATACCTACAAATTCTATCGTTTTACTTTCCACAGCCTTAGTTAAGGTCCTCGATGTTAATGGACAGCCGCATGCTGCTAGAATCTTACTTGATAATGGAAGCACTAATAATTTCATATCTAAGGACTTCTGTCATAAGTCGAAACTTAATACTATTTCAACAGATTCTAAGGTGTCTGGTATCAACAATCAACCTCTCAGTAGTTCACAGTTTTGCTCTCTTGCATTGGAGTCTTACGTTGGTGATTATAGGATAGACATTGATTGCATAATTTTACCGAACATCACAACACATCTTCCTTCTACGTATAGTAACATACGGAACATAAAAATACCATCAGGTCTTTGTTTAGCTGATCCTTCGTTTCACGTTCCATCTACAATTGATATTTTAGTTGGAGCAGAAATATTTTGGAATGTGATTGGAACAAATCGTATTAATTTAGGAAAAAACAAACCCACCCTTTTCGAAACAAGGTTAGGATGGCTTGTGTCAGGTTCTATCTTAGAAAATAATCTTAATAATAAACACAACTTTATATGTATGTTAAGTAACCATTTAGACTTTGATCTCACTCGTTTCTGGGAGTTAGATTCTATTTCTCCCAGGCAAAACCTTTCCCCTGAAGAACGCGCTTGTGAGGAACATTTTATAAGGACCACAAGGCGTAAAACCAGACGGCCGATTTATTGTTTCGCTGCCACTTAAAGAATCACCCGCAGTCTTGGGAGATTCCTATAATTTGGTTGAGCGTATATTTTTATATTTGGAACGTAGATTAGATCGAAACCCTATTATGAAACAATTATATGTAGAATTTATGAAAGAGTACCTCACTCTTGGTCACATGACAGAATCTAAATTGCATCAAACAATCACTTGTTATTTACCTCATCATGGTGTTTTAAGGGAATCTAGTACGGCTACGAAGTTGCGCGTTGTCTTCAATGCGTCAGCGACTACATCAACTGGTAAATCACTAAACGATATTTTAAGAGTAGGGCCAAGATTACAAGAAGATCTGTTGTCAATCTTGTTAAGATTTAGACAACATGACTACGTTGTAACCGCTGATATAGAAAAGATGTTTCGCCAAACAGAAGTCTTCAATGAGCAACGCATACTTCAACAAATCTTATGGAGATTCGACCCCTCTCATCCTATCAAAAGTTATCAACTGAATACAGTTACTTACGGCACATCTTCAGCACCTTATCTAGCTACACGACGTTTGTATCGGTTAGGTCAGGAGTCTACAAATCCAGATATAAAACGCGCAATTTGTCATGATTTTTACGTTGATGATTTTTTATCTGGTCATAGAACTGTAGAAGAAGTAATTTCACTTTCTCAGGGAGCTCGCAAGATTTCACGGAATCCAACTGTTGAAACAACATTTCTGGAACCGATTTTCTAACAAGTATATCACTTTACTTCAGCAGAAGACAAAATAGATGCAGTCACATGATACACTTAAGGAAGGGACACTTGTCATCATAAAATACAAGTCCAATCCACCCATCATGTGGCTACTTGGGAGAGTCCTTCGAGTGCTGCCTGGAAGGGATGGAGTTTCCAGAGTCACTGACATCCGTACCAGGAAGGGAATAATCAGGCGAGCCTTCAACAAAATATGCCCCTTGTCGACATCAAACATCGAAGATGTCTCTTCAACGCCGGGAGTATATGGTGAAGACAAGGTTGTGCGAGACATCACTGCATGAACATGCGTCACGTAGTTTTAGCAGCGGCAGGAGGGGGGAGTGGTACGGAGGATACGGTAGCGGTTCGCCGGTCGCACAGAACGACTCAGTTTAAGTTAACGATCGCGCGGTTACATTGTCGGGTTACCTCTGTAGCACGAATAAAACTAATTCAGTACAGTCCAACTTTAATTTATTCTCATCAGGGTAGGCAGTACTCCCTATCACAAGGTGTACAGGGCACTGTCCCCACCAACTACCTAATATTAAATTAAAGATAACAACCAACGCATCTGTGGCCTTTCTTAATTGAAGTTGAATGAAGCTGTCTATAGGCTATATAACACGTAGTCATAATATTTTTTGTCTTTGTCTGCAGTAGTCATTTACCACCAGGGAAACAGATAGATCGCCTGCCAGTCTCAAAGTATGAAATGACAGAGATTTATGGAGGATGGTCATGGAAAAAGAAACATTTTTGTAGTTCTAAAGGTTTCTATAATTTCAAATCGGACATTTTTGAAATTCATCATTTATTGTAACAGAAGGAAAAACTTTATAAACAGAATACAATTTTGAAACAAAAAAATATTTATATTCCTATTAAAACTTCTCACTATTTGTCGCACATTTTCAATAAAGAATCATTGTTCCACGCCTTTATGAAATAACGTGATAGCAACGAGCGACGCGACGACCGAAAATAAGAATGACGCCATTTTGGTTTTCGCTTCGCGAACGGACGCACACCTAAAAAAATTAAATAGCGAAGTGGATTCCACCCAAACAAATATATTATACTTTAGTATTCGTATAATTTTAATGTCTAATTTAAAACAGTAATAAAAACTAACAATGCTTGGACATTGATATAGTTGTAATTAGTTTTTTTTTTCTTATTCAGTGTTAAACTTTTTGTGCTGTGATTTAAGTGTGTAGTGTGCTGATAGTTATATAGACTAAGTGTACAACATGGATGGAGATTTCGATGTCGATTTTAAGCCATTCCTAGATTACATTTCACCGGAGAATTTGAATAAACAATTGAAAAACTGTGGAGTATTCACCGGTAATGACCAGCTTGGGTTCGAACCGTTTATTAAATTACTGAATAAGGCAATTGATAAGATGCGTACACTTTTGCAAACTGAAACAGATCATTTGGAAGCTACTTGGATGGACGCCAATGGTTGCTTGGACCAAATGGAATATTTAGGATCAATTGTGACCAATTACAAAACTCGTATGCGCAAGCTTGAGAAACTGCGAAATGAACTTCAACGCGTACGCAAAGAAGTGCTGTTGTTAAAACTAGATACCACTGAACTATATACCCAAGCGAAAGTTCTTGCCGAGAAGATACGACAGAAAATAGTAATGCAAAACATAACTGTAGAGGCCCTGAACAGATTTGTTACAAGACATACTAACCTCATGTCTAAAATAAAATCTAATCTAGTTAAACTGAATACTTACAAATTAAAATATAGTCAAGACTACTTGGATAGTACGATGGAGACGTTTTCAGCTGAACGTCCAAAGAATTCAACACTACTACGAATGGAGGCTGAGTTGCGAAAGCGCACTCTGAAAGAACTAGCTAAAAACGCAGAGCGTTTTAACAATATGGCATTACCAATACTCGAGCCGATAAGAACTCTGAATACGTTCGATTTAGGTACTCAGTCAGCGTCCACTCGTAGTACGATTGTTATTGACAATTCGGATGACGACGACAATATTTTATAAAATATTACCTCGTACCAAGATCTGATGCTTCCTGATATATTTTAAATGTGCCTTAACGTATGTGTTATAAAGCATGTTCTGCTTTAAATGTTTATCCCTCACCACATGTCGCACAATCGAAGTTTAAAAGAAAGTCTGTGAATTGAATGACAGAATATTAAAATCGGAAAGCTCAGAACTACTTGACTAGTTGTCGTGACATTTTGCTAATTTGTAATTAAAGTAATTGTTGACAAAAAGTTACCACAAGTGAATTAAAATCATTGAGTAATTTTGTTCTCTAATTGTTATGATTCTGTCTTCTACTTATAAAACTTCATTTACAAGAACTAATAAAGTACAAAATGTCTTTCAACTAATACCAAGTCAGAAGTTAGCAGTTGACCTCGACTCTATTTATAATACAATAATAAAAATATGAGCAAGTGACATAAAAATAAATAAGCAAACGAAAAATCTTTCGTGGTTTTCCCATGGTGTATTATTTGTCACTCGAATATTATAAAAAGAGGTAAAATTAAATGTCGAATATAGAGGTTTAACATTCCTATTTCCATAACTAGATCGATTGTTAATTTGAAGTCAGCTTACTACAAACGTATACACTGCAACACAAGTGTATTTTTAGATGTTAATAGTAGGTTAAGTTGCATGTAATAAGTTAGTAAATGCCTAATTTTGATACTGAATGTAGAATGTAGAAACAAATAAATGTTTATGCCATCTAAATGTCTATTTTTTAATATTTTAAACTAAAAACAAAAATCTCAAAATAATCTGTATTTTCAACATGTGCTCGTTTTCACCCTATTCAAAAAAAAAAAAAAAAATGTAAAAATAAAAATAAATAAGCTAATGGGCAAAACAGATGCGCGTGTAATGACGAAGCTACGTAATCAGTCATTGACCTATACGCTATTTGTGTTATTGTGGTTTTACTGTTAAAGAAGGCAGATTTTTGTATGGAATGAGGCTGATAAACGAGCATACGGTTTATCTGATGCTAAGTGTCAACTTTTTAACCATCAGTAGTTTTAGATTCTTCATATTTAAAAAGCATTCACACACATACATACACGTTCATCCACTCTCGCAACTTTGTGTAAATAAGGTTGTTGGTATTAATGTTATGTAATAACGTCGAGTAATTGATTTGTAGGTATAAGCCTTTTTAAAGCCACGCCCATCTTCGCATAGATATAATAGAATAGAATAAATTTTATTCGGCATAGACGACGGCTCCGTGGCGCGGTGGCTTAGTAAATGAGTTGCAGCGCTGAGGGCCGCGAGTTTGAATTCGGAACCGGAAATACCGGGATATGGAACAAGTATTTGTAAGTTAACCTATTTTTATAGATCCAGGGTGAAAAACGAGCACACAGTCCACCTGATGGTAAGAAGATGATGTGGCCCGTAGACATCTACATAATCAGAATTTTTGCCAAACATTTTGCCAAAATTGCTGTCAGCTGGGGACCATATAGTGTATAATACGTAATTATGGGGCGAGTCACTCGAAAACAGTGGTGCTGCACTTGCCGTTTCCCTTGATATCTCGAAGGCCTTTGAGAGAATTTGGCACGCTAACCTTTTGGATAAGATTCCAGCGTATGGCTTTCCCTGGTCACATTGACTGGGTAAATGACTTTCTAAGTAAACGGTCCCTCCTGGTCACCCTCGATGGCTGCTCATCCGGTCCTGTGGTAACTAACGCCAGTGTTGCTCAGGAGGTCTTTCTCTCCGCAACTCTCTTCCTGCTACATATTAATTAATGCACCTAAGAATTTCTTGTCAGGATAAGCCAATTACCGATTTTAATATGAGCCGAGATTCAAACCCGGTACTCCAAGGTCTAAAAATAAAATAATTTCATATACATAACAATTTATCGAAGAATGATGAACGGATCCTGATGGTAAGGGGATGCTTTGGCCCATAGAAATCTACATTCATCCTCGATTAAGAACAAAATGCACATGCGTTGTAATTAAGGATTAAGATGGAATGGATAAATGCCGAATTTCCAGTGAAATGGGACTCCGGTTATTTACAATCACCAAAATACTTCAGCATTATGCTCCTATTTTACGCTGATACTCTGTGTCACTACCCCGAAAACGTAAAAATTATTGTGCCAGTAGTCAACAACACCTTGTTTGCATTTAATATTCCAGATTTTTACTTTTAAATTTAGAAATGTGTAAGTTTGGAAGCTAATTGTATACTTAACATCTTGAAAGTACAGCGGCGTCTCGTTAGCCGAGGGTTACACCTGAGCTCTCTATGAGAGGAAACGTGTGAATAAACCTCTACACTGCATTCGTGTCAAGTCCTACACTAGTAAAGTCAAAGTGCTCCTCATAGGTTATTCACAAGTATTCAAGTTTATATTTTGTACTTCTATAAATAAAAAAAGATGCCATGTTCTGTTACATTGCGTTAATAACTTACTGAGTTTTTTAGAATGTGAATTAATATATAAATATAAACTTTCACGCCTGTTACCTTGAAGGGTAGGCGGAGATTACGGATTTCCATAATGTGTGATATGGCAGGATCCTGACACACCTCTCTCGTATCTATCACATTCACATCCAAATACCTTCGCATACATGTCGTTTAAAAATTACCCTTAATTTGGTCCATTTTCAATATATCACCAATTTGGTCGATAAACTTCCGTATAGTGTGTCCCTTGCAAACTCCATCACTCACTTCTGTAGCATAAATTGCTTTGACACTCTTTCCTCATTCATTCTTTCTAGGCATCCAAACAAATGAAGCATAACTTTCATAATCCTGGTCACAACTTCTACTTGTAAACCATTCTTTTGTCCTATCACACAATTTCGCACCCTATCTTTCGGAGTCAACGCTAACATACTTCTTAATGATCACGTTACTACTTCCGTGAATTGCAATACTTTTATAACACATTCTGACCTCCCACCCTCCCACAAAAGAGTGAAGAGCGCCATTAACTATATTTCCTGCATTCACTCGTCGCTCTATATATTTATCGTGTCTACCATCACTGCTAAAGACACATACAAATAGACAAAATCATTTGTTCGATCAAGTTTCTATTTCTGTTCTTTGTGTAGTGTATCGGTTTACTTTCTTCTGTTTCAAGAACCATACTCGTAACTTATGTCTTACGTTAACATTTATTGTCCTCTCGTTTAATGACCTGCTCACTTATGTAAACATCATTTGGACCTCGTCCACCGAAGACGCAAATATAACATGTATTGATAGTCGGCGCATAAAGTCACGGTTACGGTTTTACGGTGACGGTTTAACTCACCCGTTCTTAATAAGTTTCCAAACAAAGATCCATAAATGGATTGAACAGTCACAGCAGTCCTGCTGGGACTCTTTTCCTTTTACACACACACACACACACACACAGTCTAAAAAATATTAGTTATTATAAATTAAATAAGCGGTCATTTGTATATCGTGAAGAATAAATCTGAAAAAAAAATATGTTCATGATATAACAATGGCTATTTTACGAGAAAATTATTTAATGTGAAAAAAATCCTCGTTGGCACCAAGGATATTGTGAATTGTTATTTTAAGTGCTGATTTACCTCAGCGGTGAAGGAAAACACCGTGAGGAAACTTTCATGTCTGTAAAATAAGAAAAAAAAGCGATGACATGTGAAGTTCGCCAACACGTATTGAGGCAGCGCGGCGAACAATTCTTGTCCTGAAACCCTCTCAGACATGAGAGGAGACCTGTACACAGCAGTGAGAAGTATATAGGCTGTAATTTTGACTTTGATCCTAATAATTGAGTATTATCAGTGAAAAGGAAAAAATAACTAACAGGGAGCAAAATATATTGTTTGTATTGTATTGTATTGTGTAATTTGTTGTATATTTCCAGGTGATAGAACTCCTTTTCTGCCTGCGAGTTTGGCTACCACTTACCTCTCACGCACCTCCCACTTACCTCCCACTTTTTATTTATTTAACTTCATAAACACATGAGATCTACCAGTCTACCTTAGAGTAGTGCAGAGATAGAAGAGGTAGGTGTAATAAGAAGTATGTACAGCAATTAATATTCACATATATATAAACTCATACATATATAAGCGTATAAATATATACATATATAAATATTATGTAAATATAATATTAAACACGGCTAACTACGAACGCTAAGTTGATTCTGTCATTTTATTGACGAGCAGTTCTCGCACTTTAGACTTCAATGAAATTCAGTTTTCGGCACTCCTGATTTAGGAAGATAGAGCGTTCCAAAGAAGAACAGATTGAACAAAGAACGATGACTTACCTCCCATGTACCTCCCACGTACATCCCATTTACCTCCTACTTACTTCCCACGTACCTTTTTTTTTTTTAATTTATTTTCTTCCAATTATACAATAAACGTTTTTAACATTTTTATCTGCCAAACTGCATTACAGTTTGTCGGCAGTGGTTCTCGTCTTACATGCTTATGTTTATACATATAATCTGAAGTATAATTTCTTATACATATACTAATATCTCCCAAAATCTATTTTATTATTTTATCTATACATATTTAGTACAAAGTTTGTTATGAGGTCCACATCAGCCAAATATCAAAATTGGTTCATTATTTTTTTTTTTATATACATACTGTATATACACATACATATACACTAATTCAACACATACTCAAACAGCACACATCGCATATAGACTGCTAATTTTAACAGTACGTTACTCGTGGCCTGTGGCGTACCTTTATGGACACAATGATAGATAATGTTTTCTTAGGATATTTTTTAAATGATTTTTTGAGATAACTTTACTAAGCAAGTCCGGCGGCAGCTCGTTATATAATTGCGGGATAACCCATCGTCTCGTGCGCATACCGAAGTAATTTTTAATTTTAGGTACTACATATTTTCCTTTTCTAGTGGATTGACGAGTAGGGTAGCCATATTCTCTTTCTACTTTAAACTCATTTTTATTATACTGTTCCATTATCAACTTTATTTTCACTTTTTTGTCTACAGGTACAATTTTACAAATTTTGAAAAGTTTATTATATTCTTTATTACACTCACTTTTCACTTTATTATCTACTAGTATCTTTAACAACCTTGTTTGTAGTTCTTTGATTTTATTTAAATACACTGGGAACGTAAGTCCATAGCTACCCAACCCGTAATCCATAGTTGTATCCGCAAGCGCATAGTACAACATATGTAACATACTTCTGCTTAGCCTAAATTTCAGGTGGTACAATTTACCCAATACACTACGTAATTTGTTACAGATTTGCTGAACATGTATACTCCATACAAAACTGGTATCTATAGTTAGTCCTAGGTATTTGTAGCATGAGACTTGTTCTAACTTCAGACATTTACAGTTATTTACATTGTTATTTCTGTGGAAACAATCGTAGGTATGCCCTTTAATTACAATGTCGGCATGCTTTTGTCGATTGTATGGCGAAGATATTAACATAAATTTAGTTTTGCTTATATTAATTATAATACCATTATCATGCGCCCATTTAACAATGTTGTCTAAGTCTTTTTGCATAACAATTTGTATCGTCTTTGGATCTTTGTACGAGTACATTAGGCAAGTGTCATCAGCATACATATACATTTCACATGATCGTGAAATGTATATTACCTCCCACGTACCTTCCATTTACCCCCACTTACCTCCCACTTACCTCCCATGTACCTCCCACTTTACCTCTCACTTTACCTCCCACTTACCTTCCACTTACCTCCCACTTACCTCCCATGTACCTCTCACTTACCTCCCACGTACCACCCACTTACCTCTCACTTACCCCCCATTTACCTCCCATGTACCTCTCACTCACCTCCCACTTACCTCCTACGTACTTCCCACTTACCTACCATGTACCTCCCACTTGCTTCCCATTTACCTCCCACTTACCTCTCATGTACGTCCCACTTACCTCCCATGTACCTCCCACTTACCTCTCATGTACCTTCCACTTACCTCCCACTTACCTCCCACTTACCTCTCACTTACCTCCCACTTACCTCCCACTTATCTCCCACTTACTCCACCTTACCTCCCACTTACCTCCCAATTACTTCCCACTTACCTCTACCTTACCTCCCACTTACCTCCCACTTACCTCCCACTTAAAGTCTCGTACTTGCACTGCTGTGTTCTGGTTTGAAGAATATAGAGAGCCGGTAGAGTTGCAGGCTGTGAGCCCGTGAGACAGTCTTCAGAAGTGACGAGGCATCTACAGCTTTCTTTGTTAGTTGGTACCATCAGGTAGACTTTGAAAATGTTTATCGTAAATATATACGTATAATGAGAAAATTCTTTTCATTTCATTTTTATATGGACTAGATTAGACATCATGTTTTTTATGTAGATCAAGGGTGAGAAACGAGCACCTAACGGTGGATGGATGCTGTGGCTCATAGAAATCTACATCCATCTTCGATTAAGAATCAAAATGCAGCTGCGTTGTCACGCTTAAGGATTAATATTAATTGTCTCGTTTCCAATGATAGGGTTGTCCGGTTCTCTACACACGCCATACGAAACACAGCAGCATTTAACTACTATTTTATACTTGTATTCTGTGAGTGCGTTGTCCTTCCCCGGTTAAGCCGACTCACTCGTATTACAACTATAATTGAGTTGCAGCATGGCTCTACCATGTAAAAAATAATACACGCGTCCGGTTCAACGTGCTTGGGATTAAACGCCGTCTCTTTTTCGCAAATAGGAATATAATATGCGTTGAAGAATGATACCATCACACTATTACGTCATATCGAATGTCTCTATTCTAAAGTCTGAGAAATGAGAATGTGCCTCCATGAGTAACGAAGGTCAACTTTCCTTATGTTATGAACTACATGTTTTATCATTAACTTCAATTATTACATGTATAACATTATAACACATTAAAATAATGTATCAACTAACAAAAAGTTAGTACAAAAAATAATGTTTTTCTTTTAATGGAATGCCAAGTATTAGTTAAATACTTCCTGTCATTTAAAACATATCTAATTCTAATTTACGCTAGCATTCTGTGAGGGTCTGGTATTTCCTCAAACGACCCCACTTATACGAGAAGCTAACGGTTAAAGTATTTCTGTGAGACTCGTCCATTTAACAATTATGACGGTTAGCAATAAAAGTTCGTTTTGTATCAATAACCTATAGATAGTTAGTTTTGTGTAGGTATTCCAAACTATGCTTATTCGTAAAATTTTTGTTTAATTATTACAATAAATGTCATATTTTTTATGTTCACTGGGCGATATAAGATTTTTAAAAAAAAACTTGTTAACTCAGAGGCACCCCACGCCGTAAATTTTAACGTACGGAAGCAACGAGTTTGATCTCCGGCAGTTCCAATAAAATTGATAAAAGCAATTCTATGAGCTGATTTATCATAAGATAGGCATTGAAGGAGATCATGTGAGGAAACTTACATACCTGATCAATTAAAAATACAGTAAGCCAGCAAGTAGGTACTGCAGCATTGCGTCAAACTATAAAGCTTCATAACTCTCCCAGAAATGAGAGGAGGCCATTGCCCAGTATTTGAACGTGCATATGCTCTACCTTTACTTTTAATTGATTTTCATTTATTAATATTTTATTATTTTATTGGTTTTCAAATTAATATTAATTAATAACCTAAAAATAATGCAATATAATATAGTTTTATTTCCAACCCAGCGAATGTTTAAAAAAAAAGAAAAAGTACCTATCTCTTTCCGTAGATATGTATAACGTAAAAATGAGACAAAAAGGGCAAGTTGATTGATAGGATTATGTACCTAAAAATTTAATTAATACCTGTACATACAAACATATATTTTTAATTTTTTTTTTATAAAATAAGGCTGACAAACGAGCACATAGTCCATCTGATGGTTAGTAGATGCTGTGGCCCATAGACATCTACATTTATTTTCAATTAAGAATCAAAATTAAGATGTGTTGCCAGCCCTGAGGACTGAGATGGAATGCCTCGTTTCCAGTAAAAAGTGTTTTCGGTTCTCTACACTCACCATACGAAACACAGCAGCAATTTTACGCTAGTATTCTGTGAGAGCGTGGTCCTACCCCGGTCAAGCCGACCCATTCGTGCTGCAACCACAGTATAGCTGCAGCACGGCTCTACCACGTATGATATCTATATCAATATCTATATTCTTCAAAAAATTAAAGATTTGAATTTATGCACTAAATTGTATGCTTAAATGCTTCACTTCCAGAGTAACTATAAGTGATTACTTTGTTAAGTTTGAATTTAAAGAAAGATAATGTGACCTTGAGTGATTGTTATACTGATATATATATATATATATATATATATATATATATATATATATATTATATATATAATATAAACTGTGTGATCTTTCTAGTCGTGTCTATGTTTATAAACTTTGCAATATTTCTATAAAATAGAGGAGTGATATTGGTAAATCGAAAGATATTCTTTAGACACATAGGTATTCGGATCTCTAATGATAATAACCTCTACAAAATTCTACATAATCAATGGAAACATATACGTATAATCATATTAAATGAAATTCGTTACCAATAAATATGTGCTACAACTTGATAGAGTTTCTAAATTGATTTAAATTAGATCTCTAATGTTGAAAAATAACAAATAAGCTGATAATTAGACGATTAATAGTGTGATGAGTTATTACTTATTATTATTCCACTATATTCTTATAAAATTTGTTAATAAAATTTTGTTATGGCACGCTTTAAAAAGTATAAAAATTAACAAGATTGTTAATTACTTTTTCTACTACTAAAAGTGACAACTGAAATGCATTGAAAGCAGAGCATGTTTATTAAAACATAGACAACACATTTAATTACCGGCTTAGGTCATAAAAAGTTATTAGTGCTAATATATTAGGACACTTTTGTCTTTTTGCTACACAATACCCTAAGAAAAAGTATTTTCTTAGTTCCCAGTGTAGGCAGTTGCCTAGGACTAGCCTCACCCGGCAGTTACCGATGATCAGCCGCAATATGTATTAACTAGCAGTCATCATCATCGTCATCGTCAACATCTCTGCATACTCTTTTATGATTAGATAGGAACTGCGCGACATCTTTAGATATATCTATACTGCTAAACGACGCAATGTCATTGGCTTTACTTATATTGTTTAGCACTTCTGTATTGCGAATTAGTTCAACAAGTTTCCGTTTCCGCATCTGTGCCTCAAAACGTAACAGGGTTGTATTTATCGAATATTCAGTAGAAAGCGTGTCCATCATGCTCTCCAAATAATCTTTACTATATTTTATTCTGTGGCTTTTTAACTTCACGAGGTTGTCCTGTATTGACGCCATGAAATTATTGTACCTTGCAACCAGCCGATTTAAACCCTCGGGGGTTATATCTTTCCTCTCTAATCTGAGACGTATTTTATCAGCTATACTTTTTGCTTCAAGGAAAATTGATGATGTGTCCACTTTCAGAAGCAATACCTCTTTTTCAACCCGTCGAAGCTCATTCTTGAGTTTCTCATATTTACGCATACGGCTCTTAAAGCGCATCAAAGTTACCTCAAGTAATTTCATTTTATCTGGAGAACCTTCTGCATCATTTAGAAGGCTGTCTAAATTATCAGATTCGGTTTTAAATTGTTCACGCAACTTTTGTAATGTTTTACTTAAAAATCTTAAAAATGACGCGAAACCGAGCTGATCGTCGCCCCCCGCTAATCCATACACTTTTAATTGTTTGCTTAAATTCTCCGGCTTAATGTACTCGAGGAGCGCCACCGGACTTACGGCAAAATCTTCCTCCATATCGATAACTTGTATTTTGTTCACATAGAATTAAAACACTTATCTTGTTATGTTTTACACTAGGAATTATAGAGTTTGCTTATGTTAAAGACCTAACACACATCACTAATGCTGTTTGGAACACGTATACTATTTTCATAATATCAGTTTGTTTTTAGATTCCAGTGAGCACGTTAAAGTTTTTAACGCTCCGTTATTACTAGAAATGGACGTATCTTTACGCACGCCCAAATTCAAATGGCGTCATAGATATTTTTAGCTTCGTATCAGTCGTGTCGTGTTGTTTCCCAGTTGCAGCCTCGCAGTGCTCAGTGTCCTGTCTATACTTATTATACTCTTTGGCTCAGTGGTTCACATAGATATATTTTTGGACAAAACATTGGAACTTTTCAAATAGTTAACAGTTTAACCAATAATAAATGCTATTAGATAGTTATTAGACACAATGAAAAAAAAAACAATGCATGCATAACCATGTCTACCTGAAATAAGTTTGGACTAAAATATGTTACTTAATAATTTTTATAAGAGCCACGGTGCAGCTACTAGAAGAGCTACATAGATAGTGTGACGGCTCATAATTATTATTAATAATTAATAATCAATTTCTATATAAGGGGGCACCGAAAAAATAGTCTTACAAGATATGTATTAAACAATAAAATTACATTAATAAGCATAAAGTTAAAAATAAAAACATTTCGGACATTAAGTATACAGTAAATTAAAGGCAAAATATTGTCTTTCTAAATAAATAAAATTATTAAAAAAAACATCACACATCAATAAATAATAGAAATACAAGTCGAAAATATTATAAAAATAAAGATAAATAACATTTATAAGATATTGGAAAATTGGTTAAAAATTGGCAAGTCATGTAAGGAGTTCGTGTATAAAAGAAAATTTTCCTAAGTTATGGAAGGTGTTCAGGTATAAATGGCTTGTATGGAGACTGGCGCCCCCCCCAGAGTCTATCCTTACCTTGAGTTGGAAAAGTCCCACATAACCACCCATTCTCAACCTCCCCCCCCCCCGCCCATTGCTTCGCGCAAAAAAAAAAAAAAAAAGAGCTGCCGAAGACGCATACCCAAGTTCGTATGTATATATGGGGTGGTCGGGTGCCCGACTGCTTGAAATATTATAGCACAATTACGAGTCCTATATCAGGGACTTATGATAGATAGTAAGCTCTATTATAATAAGGCATTATTATAAAAGGTCTCCTTGGTCCATAAGCATTATGACACTAGAGTAATGGGTTGAAGTCATATATATTAAGGACATATATTAATAAGGTATATGATATATATGAACGAAGAAGGTCTCTATGAAGTATTAGCATTACAATAGTAGAGTTGAGGGTTGAAGCCCCATATATTAAAGACATATAGATAATAGTAATGTCTATGAAATAAAGCAAATATGTGGGGGTCTCAAATAAGTAAAAGCATTATATTAATAGAAATGGGACTTGAAAAGATTTTTATTACAGTGGCGTGTACGCTGCTTCACGAGCAACTGAGACCAAGATAAACTTGGACTCGCTAACCAACGTGTCTTAGATACATAGATTATTAGATCTTAGTGCCGGTAGTAAGCGGGTTTGTAGTAGCAATACGGCTTTCCCGTAGACATCGCTCACTCATACCGTTTGTGGGTGGCGTCGTAGTGCATAGCGATATCTATCTTTCGAATTGGGATGAGTGTGTTTGGTGTTCTTTTGCGAGGATTTGTGCTTTATCAAATCGAATGTAATGGTGGGGACGATCTTGAACATGTTCCCAGAATGTTCACCGATTCCTACCAAGGATGATACGCGAGGCTATTGAAATTAAAAAAAACATCAAAATTTCAATAGAGAAGATGGATGGGTTGTGCCAGCTGCTTGGGATCCTATAATTAACAAAACTAAACCCAAACCCAAGCATACCACTGCAGGACTTCATGATACTATAAGCTCGTTTTGCGTAAATCGGACCAAAAATTTATATTCAAAAACTGAAGGTAGCCGGAATAACTATGACATTTTGACATTTTTTTTTTCATTGGGACGTCAAACATCTCAGTCCCCCCGAGACCATTGGTGCTGTAAAGCACCCGAAACGTCGGGATAATAAAAATAAATTAAAGTAATTAAACGCGATAAAATCCGTAAATAATAGTTTTATTCAACGTTACTTATGTTGCTCACTGCTCCATAACTTAATAAGTAGTAATAGATTATAATTTAATTTAGTTGCGTTAATACAATGGTTCATTGACAAGACATTTAGGAGTTAATTACAGATTTTTTGCATTTATTTTACTTAAAATAAAAAACTATCCCTAGCGAAGAGGATTGTCGCCCCAATTTTTCAAAGGATAGATGCCCTTCTATCTCTCTATACTATAAGAGCCCTGTCAAAGTATTTTAACACGCATTTATTAGCTTCTATATATAATTTAAAGTTTTTTATTCATGTCTACTTTAATATTTGTAGGCGAGCCATACCAACGAAATACAAAATAAAGTAGGGCGTACGAGCTCGAGTGATTTATTGGACAACAGAGCAGCTACAATCAGCTTTTTTTTCATAGGAGAGGGGGCAAACGAGCATGTGGCTCACCTGATGTCAAGTGACTACACCCGCATACTAACCGCAATATCTGGAGAATTGCAGGTGCATTGCCGGCCTTTTAGAAAAGAGTAAACTCTTTTCTTGAAGGTCCCCAGGTCGTATCGGTCCGGAAAAATCGCCGGTGGTAAACTATTCCACAGATAGGTTGTACGCGGAAAAAAACTCCTTTTGAAACGTGCAGTGGTGGACCGCCAAGCATCCAGATGATGTGGATGGTATCGGGACGTTTGCTGCGTAGTGCGTTCACGAAATCCGGCGGCTGAGATTAATCCGAACAATTCCTCAGAGCACTCTCCATGGATATTTGCGAAAGAAAATGCAAAGAGATGCAACATCCCTTCGTAGCGCCAGTGAATCGAGCCGATCGGAAAGCACTCGGTCGTCGACGATTCGAGCCGCTCTGCGCTGGATGCGGTCAAGTGGAAGGAGCTGGCACTGGGGAGCCCCAGCCCAGAAACGGGATCAGTATTCCATGTGAGGCCGAACCTGCGCCTTATAAAGTTGCAGGCGGTGTGCCGGCATGAAATACTGTTCCCGCTCTGCTGAGCACGCCAAGATTTTTGAGGCCAATTTGGCCTTCTCTTCCAAGTGATCACGAAACTGCACATCACTCGATATGTCGTAAACGACGAAGGGTTTTTTTTAGCGGTAAATGCGCAAACTTGTGTCTTTCGGGGATTAAACTGGGCTAGATTTAGTCGCCCCCAGTCCGAGACTTTGTTCAACAAAGTTTCCACTGCAGACACAAGTTTGTCTCGGTATTCCGCAACGTTTTCCCGAAAAATATTTGGCACGGCCGGTGTGTAAAGCATCACCAGTGCTCTCGTCTGCATAGAAATGAATGTACCCGGTTTGCAACATGTCATTGATATGCAGAAGAAACAGCGTTGGTGATAGCACGCAGCCTTGTGGAACACCAGCGTTAATGGACTTGCAATCGGAGCATGCACCGTCTACTACGACCATGATGCTCCGATCAGCAAGAAAACTGATGATGCGATTGCACAATATCTCGGAAAGCCCATAGGAAGAAAGTTTCGTAAGAAGCGCTTTGTGCCAACCCGATTGAAGGCCTTCACTATGTCCAAACTAACGGCCTTGGACTCTACTGCCTCCGCCCATTTTTTTTATAGAAGAGGGGGGCAAACGAGCATGCCGCTCACCTGATGTTAAGTGACTACACCCGCATACTAACCGCAATACCTGGAGAATTGTAGGTGCATTGCCGGCCCTTTAGAAAGGAGTAAACTCTTTTCTTGAAGGTCCCCAGGTCGTATCGGTCCGGAAAAATCGCCGGTCGTAAACTATTCCACAGATAGGTTGTACGCGGAAAAAAACTCCTTTTGAAACGTACAGTGGTGGACCGCCAAGCATCCAGATGGTGTGGATGGTATCGGGACATTTGCCGCGTAGTGCGTTCACGAAATTAGTCGGCTGGGATTAATCCGAACAATTCCTCAGAGCACTCTCCATGGTATATGCGAAAGAAAATACAAAGAGATGCAACATCTCTTCGCAGCTCCAGTGAATCTAGCCGATCGGAGAGCACTCGGTCGTCGACGATTCGAGCCGCTCTGCGCTGGATGCGGTCAAGTGGAAGGAGCTGGTACTGGGGAGCTATGATTAGCTATGAGTTAGGTTACCCAGAAGATCACCAGCCGAGTGGCCGTGACGGCAACCGTACTGGCTGTCGCTAATCAGCTGACGATCTTCAAGGTCCCACAAGAGCTGGCTGTTAATAATGGATTCCATTATTTTAGAGAACAAGGTGGTGTTGGCGATAGGCCTAAGTTGGACGGAACAGAGCGGTTACCTTTTTTGGGGATGGTGTCCACGAGGGCTATCTTCCATGATTTCGGGACTACACCGAGGGAGTAGGAGTACCGAAAAAGACGCGCTAAAACTGGTGCCAACTGCGGAGCACACGTCTTCAGCACAGTAGGAGGGACGCCATCCGGCCCACTCGACTTGTTGACGTCCATGGAGAGGAGTGCTATGCGCATTGAGCTTTGGGTAAACAGGACATCCTGCATGGAGCACTCACTCTGCGGGATGGTCGGCGGTTTGTTCCCCCTGTCATCAAGAGTCGAGTTGGACGCAAGGAGAGAGCCCAGCAGATCGGCTTTATCCTTTGCGGCATGGGCCAGTGAGTCATCCTCCCTGTGCAGAGATGGGAGAGATGGCTGACAGAAGTTCCCTTGGACGGAATTGGTGGAAGACCAAAATGCACGTATTCCCGAAGGAAGACGAACTAGTTTCTCGCCAATTGTGCCGATGTGCTCAGACTTTGCCTTCACAATGACACTTTTGAAGGACCTGGAGGCAGAATTGACTTCTTTTTAAGAGCTCTGATATTAGCATCCCGAGACGTCGATGCAT